ACACGTACAGACATGCTTTTCGTCCTTTTCCGTTCATACAGACCCATAAAGGGCAAAATCCATAAGGGGAACGACTAATCTGGTTACTGACGGGAAAGAACTGAAAGAGACGACGCACGCCTGAGAGAGAAGAGGGGGATGAATGAGGGAGAGACTAAAGAGACAGAGTGAGAGAGAGGGAGGCAGACAGAATGACAGAAAGGTGAGTATGTGGGAGCAATAATTCAGTTATCTGTGATAGGTCAAGCAAACCGCCTATCCATCAACTAGGCCAATCAGATTATAGTATCGACATTCTACCATACAGCGGACAATGTTTCTATTCGCCATGACCTTCTGTGCATGTGTGTGTGTTTGTGTGTGTGTGCTTCAAAACAGGATTAGCCATTAAGCTGTTTTCTAAAGTTTCAACAGACAGATCAGAGTCCAGTGCATGTCTCTTTTATGCAGTTTTCAATAGATCAAGGAGAACAGAAAAAAAAACCCTGAACACTCTGTACCAACAACTCCACCATGAAAACACACTACGGCACTGACATAACATTTTTATTTCAAAAATTAATGCTTATTCAACATGTCCACAGCAGTGAGGACATGTAGTGCATGGTCATGTATTTAATTTAAAAATAAAATTAAAATATTCAGCTTGTATAACGCTGAGACTCTGAACTCATGTCGGCCGTGAATATATAATATCTGACTTTTTTTCTGCTTAGCCAAAACATTTCTGTACAACAACTATAAGTGCCACACTGCTTACGTCCTGTCATGGCTTATTTAGATTAGGAAGAAGAAAAGACAAATTCGTTCTGTGAGTGAAGCAAATGGAGTGACAATACACAACACAAATGACAGATTATAATGTTACTCAAATGTATGTAGAGGAAACAATCTAGTACAGTTTTCTTGGGCAATGATGGAGTATTATCATTATTATTGTTGTGAATTTAAAGTGGTTTGAATAATTTCTTACATGCATCATTTACTTTAGTGATTGTTACAGTCGATAACTGCAACTACAAAATTAAGACCCAACTTGTTAAAAAGATTCTTTCAATATGGCTGCAGCTACACATACGTCATATGATCAACACTCCCTCACACACCTTTGTCTTCATCTCCCCAGCACTTTGGACTTGAATCAACAACCACCTCTTCTACCGAACAAAAATAAAAGACAGAAAGAGATGGACAACTTTTTATTTCAGACTGAAATTAAGAAGACTTCCCTAAAACTCTGTAATTCGGACTCCCTGTTGATTCCAAATTCTTCTCTCTCTCGACCTCTTTCTCGCTCATCCCTCACCTCTACTTCTTTCTTCAACTCAACTCTCTCTCTCTGTCTGCCTGTGGTTGCCAACCAGAAGTTACCATAGAGACCAAGATGGGTTCCGACGTTACCATGGAAACTGTGGGCTGCAGCAGCACCGGCAGCAGCAGACTCTCTCTCTCTCGCCCTCTCTCTCTGTTTGTCTCTCTCTCACACAGACACAAACACACACAAACACACACACACACACACACACACACACACACACACACACACACATTCC